GTGAGCTGTGATGCCACAACACTCTACCCAGGAGGACAGCTTGAGGCTCCGTCTCAAAAAAACAAAACAAAACAAAAAACTAGTCAGGCATTGTGGTGGGCAACTATAGTCCCAGCTACTTGGGAGGCTGAGGCAAGAAAAACGCCTAAGCCCAGGAGCTGGAGGTTGCTGTGAGCTGTGTCGCCACCACACTCGAGACCAAGGGCAACAAAGTAAGACTCTGTCTCTAAAAATAAATAAAGAAAAGCTTATGGCTGCATATTACTTGTAAGTGAGTAATTTTTACATTTCTTTTCTTAAATCCCTACATGCAGAATTATTGAGTTGAAGGATGTAATATATATATATTTTTTTTTTTTTTTTAAAGAAAAAGTCTCACTTTGTTGCCCTTGGTAGAGTGCTATGGCGTCACAGTGACCTCCAGCTCTTAGGCTTAAGCAATTCTCTTGCCTCAGCCTCCAAGTAGCTGGAACTACAGGCACCAGCCACAATGCCCAGCTAAGAAGCATGTAATTTTTTAAAATTTGTTTTCAAACCGGCAAGGTGGCTCATGCTTATAATTCTAGCACTTTGGGAGGCCAAGGAGGGTGGATTGCCTGAGCCTACCTGTTGGAAACCAGCCTGAGCCAGAGTGAAACCCCGCCTCTAAAAAATAGCTGGGCCTTATGGCAAGCGCCTATAGTCCCAGCTACTTGGGAAGCTAAGGCAAGAGAATCAATCACTTGAGCCCAGGAGTTTGAGGTGACTGTGAGTTGTGATGCCATAGCACTCTACTAAGGGCGATGAAGTGAGACTCTGTCTCAAAAATAAATAAATAAATAAATGAAATAGGCAATAAGTCTGGCTATGTCAAAATCATCTCAGAACTTAAAAAAAAACCTTCCCCAGTAGATATGATGTGCAACCAGGCTACATTTACATTCACAATCCTACTTTCTCACATCTCTTTGTTTATGTCAATCCACTGAAAGCTGACATTGACAGTATCTTTGCCAAAACAGTTTGAGTACCAAAGTTATAGGGCAGCGCTTGTGGCTCAGTGGGTAGGGTGCCTGCCCCATGTACCGAAGATGGTGGGTTCAAACCTGGCCCTGGCCAAACTGCAACAACAACGACAAATAAAATAGCTGGGCATTGTGGCGGGCACCTATAGTCCCGGCTACTTTGGTAGGCTGAGGCAGGAGAACCATCTAAGCCCCTAGGAGTTGGAGGTTGCTGTGAGCTGTGAAGCCATCGCACTCTATTGAGGG